CGCGTCCGCGCCGCTGAGGCTGCGTAGCTGGTCGATGTAGCGGAAGTCTGGCGCGAGCCGGCCGCCCTCCGCGATGATCGCCCCGCGGATCTGGGGGGAGAGCTCCTCGGAGTCTCTTGCGTGCGCCAGGTCCGGTAGGAAGGGGAGGAGGCAGTCCCCGAAGTGCTCCGAGGCCTCGCGGGGCAGCTCCGAGGGCAGGTGGTCCACCGCGTGGAACAGCACCCCGGGGTCGTCGAGGCTGGTGGAGACCTTCTCCGTGAGAGCGTTGAAGACGAAGAACGGCTGCTCTATGCTGGTGAACTGCCGCGTGGGCACCGAGCCATCCGCGTCGCATGTGATGTCGCAGACGCCGAGGAGCCGGTCGTGCCCGGCCACGACGTGCTCGTGCAGATCCTCGCGCGTGAAAAGCTTTGGGAAGCGCTGATCCCAGTACATGCCATTGATGATGACCGTGCTGTGCGGCAGGACTATGTCCTTGAATATAGGCTCAAACTTCTCTGGCTCGGCGTAGTACTCTGCCTTGTCGAAAGGGCCGCCTCCCCGGCGTCTCACCATGTCCTCCGCGGTGGCGATGGATATGTACAGCTTGTGGCTGTCCGAGTGCCCGCTGCAGACGCCTGCAAGGTCCCTTGGCGCCACCATCTCGTGTGGGAGCAGCTTGAAGATGTCCAGGGCCCCGTTGGTGACCTTCCCGCTGCCCGTGAAGACGGCGGTGAACGGGCAGAGGGCCAGTGGGAGGCCCCTCGTCTGGATGGCCTCGCCGGCCAACTCCACGGCCCGCCTCGCCTCGGCCAGGCTCGGGTACATGAATGCCGAGCCGATGTGGAGGAGGGGCGTGCTGAAGCCCAGCGCCAGGAAGCGCTCGCCGAGGCCGCGGAGGAAGTCGATGGCACCAGCGTAGCCAGCGTAGTGGCCGAAGGCGACCAATCGCTGATCCCGGCGGTTGCCTGTCTTGGTGATGCACTCGTAGTCGACGAGGCGGACCTTCCTCTCCAGGGCCGCGTCGAGCAGCGGCATGCCCGCGGGCTGAGCCTTGATTGTGTGGGAGAAGAAGAGCCACGTGCGGCCTGGCAGAAGCAGGTCGACGGGCACCTCCTTGACCGCACAGATAGTGGCGCACTCCGAGAGGTCCTCGTTGATCTCTGCACCCGCGCTGCGGTACTCGTCGTCGGTAAAGACTCGCCTTGTCGAGGGCTGCACGATGATGCGAATGCCTTGGCCGACGAGGGCGCGCACGTGATTGGGCGCCATGGGCGCTCGCCGCTCCCACTTGTTCTTGTCCTCGCGGCGGATTCCCAATACCCCAGGGCTGCCCCTGTTCTGTCTCTCGGCGCCGCCGTGCGCACGGACCGCACCGCCCGGGCTCGCCATCGGCCTGTGCCTCTATAGAACGGATCTGCGCCCGGCAAGCCCAAAAGTCGGCTTGGATGCGATAAAACGGCTTAAGCCATTGTGTGCGTGTGTGTGTGTGTGTGTGTGTGTGTGTGTGTGTCTGGCTCCCCGCCCCGGCGCCTGCCCCGCCGCCGCCTGGCCCTGCTCTGAGCGGGCCTGGCTTCCTCCTCCTCCCGCCCGCGCCGGGCTTCCTTTCTCCTCGTCCCGTGCACTGCGGCTTAATCCGGCTTCATCCTCCCGTAGCACTAATGCCACATCGCCAGAGCAATCCCTCTGCCTGGCCGCCGACGGAAAAACACGTGTATGTGTGTGTGTGTGTGTGTGTGTGTGTGCGTGTGCCGCTTTGCTCACTTTTCTGGCCGCTGCACGCTCCCTTCTTGGGTTAACAGGCCCTCTTGTCCACCACCCATCTTTTTGCATTTCCCCAGCGTTCGACGTCTCCTTCGCTGTGCTTCCGACCACGCTCCATCGCAGCTCGCACTTCCACCTGCTGCTCGCGCTCGAGGACCCTCTGCACCGCTGACGTAGAAGAGTGCACCGTTGCTGCCTGCTGCTCGCCCCGGCGCAGGCTGCTGCCTTCGCCCCGCGCGCTCTGCTGCCGCGGTCGCTCGCGCACCGCCCCAGATCGGCGGCCACGCCGCCGCGGTCTGCCCGCGGCTCGGCTGCCCTCCCGTCTCGCCCGGCCGGCGGATCGCCAGAGACGGCCTCACCGAGAGCATCGTCGGCCGCGGGCCATGGCGCGCAGCACCATCCCAGCGCGCCCTTCTGCCCACCCCGTGCAGCCTGGCTTTTTCGCTGCTGGGCTCCGCCTGCTCTGCTGCGGCCCGCGGATCACCCGCGACGCCCTCGCTGTGTGGATCGCCCGCCGCTCCTTGGCGCGCCGCCTCACCCCCACTTTTGACGCACCTGCGTCGTCTTCGTGGATGTGATGTCTACCCCCCTATGCGACGCGCGCCGCGGCTCCTCCGGTGCACCCGCCTCGCGGCAGCTCGCGCGCGGCCCGCCGAGGCGCGGCCGCTGCCGTGCCTTCTGCTCATCCCTGACTGCCCGCTGGCCGTGCGCGGCGCTCTCGCCGATCGGCCCATCAGCGGCCACTCCGCAGGTCGACGCGACCGCACACTCCTACGCTCTCCGCGCTCGCCCCGGGACCCGCATGGCGGCATACAGGTGGTGTACAGTAGGAGCTCGACCACCAGAAACCTTCCACAAGAAACCCCACCCTGAGACCCCAGGACGTCCATTGATTTTGGGTGTGGGAGCGTCACGCTCCTACACTGCAAAACCATCGGAGCCCATGAAACCCAGGTCGCCCTGGAGGCAAGCAGTGTGTTTCTTGGCATGGGCTTCTGCCCAGGGGCAACGATCGGGGGGGGATATGCACAGGGTTGGGAAACATCGACCTGGAGCCCGCGATGCATCGCCAAGAGATCGGCGACAGGCCTCCGATAGCGAATCCGCGCCTTCCTGGGCAGGCTGGGGCCATCGGGCCTATACCGGCGAGCCATGGGCGATTGAGGGTCGATGCATCCCCCCAAAATGCCTACAGTCGGGGCGTTGACCTAAGGAACCCTAAATAAGGAACAAGGCCCCTCTTTTCCATAAGTTGAACTTCGAGTTCCCACCTAAAACATCGGGAAACCCCGAGGCAAACTTTGAAACGATCAAGGAACACCGAGCCCCTCCCCAACGAAAAGCGTTCCTTCTTCAAGGCCCCGACTGTACCCCCAGGTGGTTTTCGAGCCATAACTTGGCACTCCAGCGGCCGTTTGGAACGATGCTGGGCACCCCCAGAACGCCCTCGACGAAGCACAGCTGCTGGAACGCATCCCCGAGGCTGGAAAGCCGCCGCGAACGGACGACAACGACGAAAACCTGGAAACTCGAGGCGAGTGGGAGCTGATGCCGATCCCCCCCCCTATCGCTGCCCCCGACCTCTGCTGCAACGCCAGACTGCGCCACCAGACGTCCAGCCCCACACCGGCGCCAGCCGCCGCCCTTGCGCCGCGGCCTCGCGGTGCCCCCCCGCCCCTGCCCCCGCCCCACGTGCTGCCCCGCCGGGGCGCGCCGCAGGCCCGACGAGCCGCCGGCTGCTGCCCCGTTGCCTCCGGTCGGGCGGACGTAGAGGCCCCAGGGGCTTGCGGACTGTTCGCCAGTCGACCTGTGGGGATCGAGCCAGAGAAGTGCAGCCAAGCGCAGGCAAACCGAGACACGTCCAGGGAGATCGAGGTAGATCCATGTGGGGCAGGGGGTAGGGGCCCAGGCGGGGCTGGGAGGGAGCCTGCTCGAAGTGACACCTGGAAGAAGTAAGCGTGGGCATCCAGCTGAGCTCGCCCCCTCATCCCACCCTTGGGATGACCCCCTCCCTTCACGAACCGCCAGCCCAGACCACGGACGATGCAGTGGACCATTTTGCGGCTCCGGTGGCGCTCACAGCGCCCGAGGCCCAGCAGGCCAGCATAGCGCTTGGACTGCTGCTTTCCAGCAGCTCTGGAGAGGCTGGTGTCCGTGGATAAGAACAATATTCGATTCGTCACTTCTTATCTCACTGGGGCTCCCTAGCCTTAGGTCGGGCATGTCCCCCTACAGGCCGATTTTGGACGAACAAAAACACCCAACAAATATTCCCAAAATGCCCCCCCAAAATAGGCAACACATCGTCCCCATACTATATATATATAGATATATGTGTGTATATATATATATATACATAATGTTTGAATTTTCCTCTTGCAGAGGGACGTGCCCGATTTAACCCTAGCCCCCACCTCGGGATAACCCCCGTCCACGCACCCCCCCCGACCCAGACCCAAACCAATTTCGACTCGCCACTTCTTATCTCACTGGGGCTCCCTGGCCCCCACCTCGGGATAATCTTAGGTCGGGCATGTCCCCCTACAGGCAGATTTGTAGGCAAAATCTACCCAACACATACTCCTAATGCTCAAAAATAGTCAATAGATCCTCCCCAGACCATTTTGAACTATTTTTGAATATTCCTCCTGTAGAAGGACATGCCCGACTTGATGACAGTCCCCCCTCTACGAAACCCCTTGACCCTTCGGCTATACGCAAGAGTGACCCTTGGTAAGAGTGACCTTTGGTGCGCGGTATTGGGGGGGCGCGGGGGAGCCACACCCGAGCGCGCAAGCCGCTTGTATCGCGGCGCGTCCGGCGATTGGGGGACCCATTTGGGCCCGCACCCGAGGCCACTCCGGCGAAAGGTCAATCCTACGTCCAGCTGAGACCCAGAGCGCGCCGCCCCTGCCGGGCAGGGGCCGCCCGGCCCCGCTGCTCCCTTTCGCCACTGGCTGCCCCGTGAGGGCTGGCGGGCTCCCTTCCGCTGCTCGGGCCGGCGCGCGCGCGGCCGCGTCGTCGTCGTCGTCGTCGCCGCCGTCGTCGTCGTCGTCGTCGTCGTCGTCGTCGTCGTCGTCGTCGTCGTGGCCGTCGTCGTCCAAGTCGTCGTCGTCGTCGTCGTCGTCCGTCGTCGTCGTCGGTCGTCGTCGTCGTCGTCGGTCGTCGTCGTCGGTCGTCGTCGTCGCCGTCGTTGTCGTCGCTCTCGCTCCCGTGGCCGCTGCCGTCGTCGTCGCCGTGGGGCCCGCAAGGCGCGCCTGCGCCTCGTGCCGCGCCACGCGCATGCCGGCGGCCCGCCACCTGCGGAAAAGCCGCTTCGGCTCCCGGAGCCCGCCGCCGCCGCTGCCGCCGCAGCAGTTGCCGCCGCTGCCGCCGCCGCCGTCGTCGTCCTCGTCGTCGTCGGCGTCGTCGTCGTCGTCGTCGTCCAAGTCGTCGTCGTCGTCGTCCAAGTCGTCGTCGTCGTCGTCGTCGTCGTCGGTCGTCGTCGCCGTCGTCGTCGTCGTCGTCGTCGTCGCGGGCGCCTTCGCGCAGCGAGCGGCGCCCGCCCCGTGGCTGGGGCGGCGGCGCGCGCGGGTGGTCGTCGCCGAAGCGACGGGATGGGGGTGCTCCTCCCTCTGCGCCTCCGCCTTCGCCTCCTTCTCCTCCTCCTCCTCCTCCTCCTCCTCCTCCCTCATGCGTCCTCCTTCCTCGTCGTCGCCCTCGACCCTGCCGCGCTCGTCGCCCCCCTCCCCTGCCCTACGTCCGACGCCCTCGGAGCCAGGCCTCCGAGGGCGAACTTGAGCGTCTTGGCTGTAGCGTTCTGTGAGGCAGTGGCCCGTGTCAACGCACGAGGGCTGCTGCCAGTGCGGACGCAAGCACTGAAGAAAGAGCTCGCAGAAGATGAGATGTCCAAGTGGGCGCAGAGCATCAAAGCTGGGCGCCGGGGGGAGTAGGGAGAACCATACCAGTACAACACACTCCTTCTGCTCACCCCCTCCTCGTTCTCCTTCTCCACCTCCTAAGTCTTGCATTCGAACCTCGAGGACGCACTAATCTGGACGTCGTTCTGGGATTCTGGTGGCGCCCCAGAGGCTGTCCGGCGACGTCCGGGGGTCAGGACCATGGGCGGCCCCACAACTTACGAAGTCTTGCTCTTACTCCTCCTCCGCCCCCCGAGAAAAGCGGGCTCGCCAAATCTCTGGTCGGGCCCCGCTCCGTAGTAGGTGCTGCTTCCTGCGCTCGGTTCGCTCGGTTCCCAGCCAACCTCCTCCTCCCTCTTCCTCCTCCTCCTCCTCCTCTTCCTCCTCCTCCGCTTCCTCCTCCTCCTCCTCCTCCTCCTCCTCCTCCTCCTCCTCCTCTTACTTCTCCTCCTTCCTTCCCCCTCCTGGGCATTTGGCGGCATCCCTCGCCACCGCGACCCTTCTGGAACGTCGTGGGTTGTGGCTGACACCTGCTCTCCTCCTCTCCGTCCCTCGCCCCGTCCGTCCCGCGAGGAGCGGGCGGAAGGGGGCGGTCCTCTGCAGCTCGCCGCGCAACCTCACGGCAACGGGGGGGTCTGGGAGAACAGGACGGCAGACAGGAGGAGGAGGAGGAGGAGGAGGAGGAGGAGGAGGAGGAGGAGGAGAAGGAGGAGGAGGAGAGGAGGAGGAGGAGGAGGAGGAGGAGGAGGAGGAGGAGGAGGGAGGGGGAGGACGAGGACGAGGAGGAGGAGGAGGAGGGAGGAGGAGGAGGAGGAGGAGGAGGAGGAAGGAGGAGGAGGAGGAGGAGGAGGAGGAGGAGGAGGAGGAGGAGGAGGAGGAGGAGGAGGAGGAGGAGGAGGAGGAGGAGGAGGAGGAGGAGGAGGAGGAGGAGGAGGAGGAGAAGGAGGAGGAGGAGGAGGAGGAGGAGGAGGAGGAGGAAGGAGGAGGAGGAGGAGGAGGAGGAGGAGGAGGAGGAGGAGGAGGAGGGAGGAGGAGGAGAGAGGACGAGGAGGAGGAGGAGGAGGAGGAGGAGGAGGAGGAGGAGGAGGGGAGGAGGAGGAGGGAGGAGGAGGAGGAGGAGGAGGAGGGAGGAGGAGGAGGAGGAGGAGGAGGAGGAGGAGGAGGAGGAGGAGGAGGAGGAGGAGGAGGAGGAGGAGGAGGAGGAGGAGGAGGGAGGAGGAGGAGGAGGAGGAGGAGGAGGAGGAGGAGGAGGAGGAAGGAGGAGGAGGAGGAGGAGGTGGGAGGAGGAGGAGGAGGACGAGGAGGAGGAGGGAGGAGGTGGAGGAGGTGGAGGTGGAGGAGGGGAGGTGGAGGAGGAGGAGGAGGAGGAGGAGGAGGAGGCGGAAATATCGGGGGTTGCTAGAACTGGTCCTGGCCCAAGGTGTCCCCAGCTTTTCGCACCACTCTGGAGCCCACTGGGGCGCTTGGGCCCAGTGAGGGGTGTGCCGGAGGCCGTCTGGGCCTCCCCGGGAATCCGGGGGACACCTCGGGTCAGGGACACCGCTGGCAGCACAGCACCCGGAACGAGAGGGTCGAGCGCGCGAGCTGGGCGGCGGCGCCAGATCGACGCTGCGAAGCACGATGCAGACAACATCGGGCTGGGATGAGCTGGGAATCTCTGAGGCCCGACGGCGCGGGAGGGCGTTCTGAGAGTGCTCCAGATCGCGCTTGGGCGATCTATCCTCATCCCAAGTCCGCTTAAAGGGGGAACCAGCGGAATGCATCGCTTGCAACTGTGCCGGCCTGTGGGTTCTGAAGCCTGACTTGAGCAGAGCTGCTATCCAATTGATCCGAAGCTAGACCGCAACGCGGGCAAGCCGTGGGAAATCATGGCAGGTTGCAAACAGTGGACCCAAGTATGGTGGAAGATTGTGCAGGAAGTCCAACCAGCCCTGTGGGCGTGGGTGGGAAAACGAGTTAGTTCTTCCAGCATGCGTTTCCCCCTTCGGGGAGAGGTATACCTCTCCCTCTCCCCCTACCCACTCTTCTTGGGTCTGAAGGGGGGGTCGCGGGTCTTGGAGAGTCCAAGATGGCTCAAGATGGCCCCGAGCCCCAGATGGCCCAGTGTGTCCAAGATCGTACAAGATAGCCCAGTATGGTTCAAAATAGTTCCCAACATGCCTCCCAAACCAAACATAATGGCAACGCGAAGTGCATACTAGCCGTCGCTATCACCATCGCCATGGTGATCGTGGCGATCGCCGCCGTCACCAGCGCCATTGTTACCATCACCACAACCGCCGCCACCATCGCCACCGCCACCGAAAAAACGGCCTGTAATCGCAATCGCCACCGCTGTCGCCATCGCTATCATGAGCATCATGGCCGTCCTCATGGTGACTAGATGTATCTGTCTTTGTCGCCGCCGTCTCCGCTAACGGCCGTGGCCCACACCCATCGGACGCTCACCCATCGCGCAACGGCCCCCCCCTCGTCGTCGTTGCCGTCGTCGTCGCTGTCGTCCGTCGTCGTCTGTCATCCGACGTCATCCGACGTCATCCGTCGTCGTCCGTCGTTCGTCGTCCGACGTCATCCGTCGTCGTCGTCGTCGTTGTTATTGTCGTTGTCGTCGTCGTCGTCGTCCTCGTCGTCGTCGTGGTTGTTTCCACTCTCCCCCCGATGTAGCACTCCCTCAATCTCGTCCACTCCGCAGCCCTCCCTCCGCCTCTTGCCCCTGCCAGTCGCGCCGCCAAAGGGGCCGAGCCTGGGGGTCCCCAAACCGTGTGGTGACAGACCGCGCGGTGACCTCGAAATCCGCGGAGACCTCACCGCACAGTCCATCACTGCACGGTCTTGGGACCCGGGAGGCCCCAGCTGCCCGAGACGTCCTCGGAGAACGACCCGAGTCCCCAAACCGTGCGGTGACCCCGCCGAATCCCCACCTCGCCAGCGCTCGGACGTCCACTCCCCGTGCACTTTTCGGTCCCGCGCGCTTCGTTCTTCGCGCGATGGTCCAAGACGCTCCTCCACGGGTCCCCGCCGAGGGCCACGAGCGGCGCACACGCCCGAGCGGTGCCCGGCCACCGGCTCGACACGCGGTGTGGCCACCACCACCGTCTGGGGGACCCCGACGAGCACAGCGCCCTCGCACCTCGAGAGTCGGGGCGGGGGGGGGGCACGCCACCCGACACGGGCTCGCCCGACTGTGCCGTGCGCGATCGCCCCCCCCGAGGCGCGCCCGTGGCTCCTCGCTGGTCGCCGCCAACTCGCCACACACCGCTCGGACGTCCATTCCCTGTGCACTGTTGGATGCCGTGCGTGCTCTTCCCCACATCCCAGGTGGGGCTCTTGTTTTCTCTGGACGCCCCGCGCAGTCCTCCTCCTCACCCCATCTCCTCCTCACACACTCGCACACCATCATCAGCAAGCATCGTCATCCGTCATCCGTCATCCGTCATCCGTCATCCGTCATCCGTCATCATCATCATCATCATCATCATCATCATCATCATCATCATCATCGTCATCGTCGTCATCATCATCGTCATCATCATCATCATCGCCATCGTCATCATCGTCATCATCCTCATCACAATCGTCAATCATCATCACCTGTCGTCCCACTACATCCTCACCCATCATCATCATCCACCCACTCGGCCACTCACTCACGTTCTCCCAACACTCACTCATCATCATGTATGGTCCCACCAGGATCATCGGGTATCAGCATCATTGTCGCCACCATCACCCGCGCGCACTTCACCATCGTCATCACAATCACCATCCCATCATGACCATCGAACAAGAGGGGCCTCGTCTGTGAGGAAATCGCGAGGAAGTCTCGAGCGGGACCCCCCCCCGTATGGGGCCCGCACTTCATGTTGGCAATCCTTGCGAGTCATCGGAATCCTGTAACTGTCGTCACTTTTCTGCTCCTCTGGATTGAATATGAAGGAAGTCTCGAGCGGGAGCTTCGTCTGTGAATTGAGGAAGTCTCAAGTGGGAGCCCCCTCCCTGTGAGCCCGTACTTCATGTTGGTAATCCGAGTGGGTCATCGGGATGCTGTAGCTGTCGTCAACTTTCGATTCCTCTGGACTGAATACGAAGGAAATCTCATGCGGGAGCTTCGTCTGTGAGTGAATTGCGAGCAAGTCTCAGGCGGGAGTCCCCTCCGTATGGAGACCGCAATTCATGTTGGTAATCCGAACGGGTCATCGAAATCCTGTAACTGTCACCACTTTTCGGCTCTTATGGACTGAGTCTGGAGGAAGTCTCAGACTGGAATTTCGTAGGTGACGGAATTTCGAGGAAGCCTCAAGCGGGAGCTCCTTCCCTATGGGGTCCGCACTTCGTGTTGCTAATCCGAACGGGTAACTGGAAACCGGAATGTGTCGTCATGTTTCGGCTCCCCTGGATTGAATATGGAGAAAATCTCAGGCGGGAACTTCGTCCGTGAGTGAACCGCGAAGAAATCTCAAGCGGGAGCCCCCTCCCTGTGGGCCCGCACTTCATGATGGTAATCCGAGCGAGTCATCGGAACCGTGTAACTGTCGTCGCTTTTGGGCTTTTCTGGCATGGAGATGGAGGAAGTTTCGAGCGGGAGCTTCGTCTGTGAGTGAACTGTGAGGAACTCTCAGGCGGGAGCCCCCTGCCCATGCGGTCTGCACTTTATGTTGGTAATCCGAGCGGGTAATCGGAAGCCTGTTATTGTCGTCACGTTTTCGGCTCGTCTGGATTGAATACGGAGGAGAACCTCAGGCGGGAACTTCGTCTGTGAATGCATGCCGAGGAAGTTTAAGTGGGATCCCCCGTCCTATGGGGTCCGCACTTCACGTTGGTAATCCGAATGGGCCATCGGGATCCTGTAACTGTCGTCACCGTTCGGCTCTTCTGGGGTGAATATGAAAGACATCTCAGGCGGGAGCTTCGTCTGTGAGTGAGCTGTGAGGAAGTCTCAGGCGGGAGTCGCTTCCGTATGGGGCCCGCACTTGAGGTTGGTAATCCGTGCGAACCATCGGGATCCTGTAACTGTCGTCACTTTTGTGTTCCTCTGGATTGAATATGGAGGGTGCATCGAGCGGGAACTTCGTATGTGAGTCGACGAAGTCTCAGGTGGGAACCCCCTCCTGTGGGCCCGCACTTCATGTTGATAATCCGAATGGGCCATCGGGATCCTGCAGCTGTCGTCACCATTTGGCTTCTCTGGACTGACCATGTAGGAAATCTCGGGCGGGAATTTCGTCTGTGAGTGCATTGCGAGCGAGTCAATCTCAGGCGGGGGTCCCCTCCGTATGGGGGCCGCAGGTCATGTTGGGAATCCGAACGGGTCATCTAAATCCTGTAAGTACCACCATTTTCCAACTCTTGTGGACTGAATCTGGAAGAAATCTCAGGTTGGAGCTTCGTAGGTGACTGAACTTCGAAAAAACCTCACGCGGGAGCCCCCTTCAATATGAGGTTCGCACCTCACGTTGGTAATCCGAACAGGTAATCGGGACCCTGTAACAGTCGTCATTTTTCGGATCGCCTGGGTTGCATATGGAGGATACATATGGCGGGAACTTCATCTGTGAGTGAACCGCGAAGAAATCTCAAGCGGGAACCCCCTCCCTGTGGGCCCGCACTTCATGTTGGTAGCCCGGGCGGGTCATCGGAACCGTGTAACTGTCGTCGCTTTTTGGCTTTTCTGGCATGGAGATGGAGGAAGTCTCGAACGGGAGCTTCGTCTGTGCGTGTACAGTGAGGAAGTCTCAGGCGGAAGCCCCTCTGCTTATGCAGTCCGCACTTCATGTTGACAATCCGAGCGAGTACTCGGAACCCTGTATTGGTCGTCATCTTTTCGGCTCGTCTGGGCTGGCTATGGAAGAGACCTCAGGCGGGAGCTTCGTCCGTGAATGAATTTCGAATAAATTTAGATGGGAACCCCCGTCCTATGGGTCCGCACTTCACGTTGGCAATCCGGATGGATCATCGGGATCCTGTAACAGTCGTCACCTTTTCGGCTCTCCTGGGCTGAAAATGAAAGAAATCTCAAGCGGGAGCTTCGTCTGTGAGTGAATTGCGAGCGAAGAAATCTCAGGCGGTAGTCCCCTCCGTATGGAGACCGAAATTCATGTTGGCAATCCGAACGGGTAATCGGAACCCTGTAACTATCACCACTTTTCGGCTTCTCTGGATTGAATGTGGAGGAAATCCCAAGCCAAAGCTTCGTCGGTGAGTAAATTGAGAGGTCTCCAGCGGGAACCCCCTCCTTATGGGGTCCGGACTTCACGTTGGTAGCCCGAAGGGTCATCGGAACCCTGTAATTATTGTCACTTTGTTCGGCTCCTCTGGGCTGAATAAAGACTCCAGGGCTGAGGCAGGGCAGCTCGCGGCAGAGCTGAATTTTGTGTCGCCTCCCGCCTGGGCGCGGCCGCGACTAACTCGGGGCATGCGGGGTTGTCCCAACAGCTTGCTCTCGCGCCCCAGCGGCTCGCGGGGTTCTCCCAACGGCCGTTGCCCCGACAGTTTCGCGATCTTGCCATCGGAAAGCGCGTCCCTGCTGGGCGCGGCGGCGAGGGCGCCGAGGAAAGTCTGCATGCGCCCCCCCTGCCAGGAGGAAGGACATGTGCATGAGGAGAACAGGCGGGATGGAGATGAGAGGGGGGGGTGGGAGAAGGAGGTGGAGGAGGAGGAGGAGGAAAAGGACGAAAAGGACGAAGAGGAAGAGGTGAAATTGAACACGGAGGGCGAGCAGGAGGAGGAGACGGAGGACGAGGACGACAAGGAGGATGAGGAGAGGAGGAGGAGGAGACGCACCAGAGGGCGAGACTGGGGGCTTCGGCCAGGGCGACGAGGAAAGAGCGAAAGGCAATCTCAATGTATCATCATGTGGGTCCTACCGTCCGAGAAATGTATGTGTTGCTCGAGGATCCAGGATGCTCCTCGAAGGTCCTCGCCGAAAACAACATTGCACACGCCCCCAAGCCAGCCGCTCCGTTGCATTCCGCACCACGCGGGGCTGGGGGGCCCCCGCGCCCCTCTCTTCGGCGTCAACGATAAGGGTCCTGAGGACGATGGGGGTTCTGAGGACGAGGCGCCTCGCCAACGTATATCCACCCTGGGATCCCTTCCGATCCTTGGGCCCCCACCCCTCAGGACCCCATCCTTGAGCCACTGACCTCCACGGCGACAGGCTGGCGCCCTCCTCCCCCCGTGCCCCCCGCCCCCCCCCCCCCGTGCCCAGCCCTCCTCGGCCAGCGGAGAGGCCAATCCTTCCTGCCCCACTTGCCGTTCACTGTTGTTGGCAAGACGACGCCCCGTGCAACAGCAGTGTAGGCTGCCGCGAATCGTCTCTGCGGGGCCCGCTCACTGAGGATGCGCTCAGATGCCGACCGCCGCAGCTGCCAGGGTGCTGCATGCCAGCTGCACCATGGCCCGCCCCGCCTCTGCTCCGAGTCGCGGCTCTGTCTCCTCCCTCCTCGCGCCGTTCTCGCCGCCCTGCTTCTGCCTACCCTCCCTGCCACCTCTGACCTCCCTTCTCCCTCTCCCTGGCCTTCCGTTGCCTTCTCGCTCGTACCCGCTGTCATGCTCCTCCTCCGGATGCTTTTCCTCCACATCGTCCTCCTCCTTCCTGGGCTGCGGCGCCTCTCGTTCTCAGCCTGCGTCGCCTCCTGGCGGCGGAAGCTGGCGGCAACTCACCAGAACCAAGCGTCTGTGATCGATCGCTCGAAGTATTGACAGAAGAGGGCTGGGGGGAACCGCGTTTTTCCCACAGGCAGTGCTCGCACTGACTGGTCATTTGGAGCTGAAGTGACTTACCCGTACCTGTTGGGAATGGCCCATCTCCCAAGCTCGCTCATCGCAGTGAAGGCCGGGGGCAAGCCGGGGGAAGGAGGATGGTATGCACTGGCGCACGGGAGCATGGCCGAGCGGGGGGAGCAGAGCGCCGGCCAGCCCGCGGCGGCTCTGCCCTGGGCGTCGCCGGCGCCTCCCTCGTCGCCGCCGCCGCCGCCGCGGCGCAGGGCGCATGTCCTGGGCTCTGCGCGCCGCGAGGAGCTGGTCCTGCACGTACCTGCGGCCCGCCGTGCCGGGGGCGGCGGCGGCAGCGGCGACGCGAGGGCCTCCGGCTGCGCGACGGTCCCGTCTCTCTGCGGCCGACCGCCGGCAGCTCAGCTCCAGGCCGACGGGTGCCGCGCCTCGCCCGGAGCTCCCGGTCACCTCTCGCCCAACCAAGGCCAGGGCCCTGACGCCACACCTCCAGGATGGGGCTGCGTGGGGGCGCCTGGATCCTACGCCCAGGGGGTCTGCGCCTGGGTGGGCTGACAAGAGCTCTGGAGGAGGAAAGCGCCGCGGCGGTATATGGAGGAATCCCCCTTCGACTGTCTTGAAGCTGTCCTCTCCACTGCTCGTGCAAACATCCCACCCTCCCACCCGCAACTTGGTCGCAAGACATCTTCAGACAAGACCGTGACGGTAGGTACTGCGTGGCACTTGGCCACGACACCGATGCCGACGACGACAGCGACATCGACGACGACGGCGCCGCCGACAGCGACTGCGACGACACCGACGACGTCTCCAATGTTTTCGACGACGACAACGACGACGACGACACCGACGACGACGACAACGACGCCGACGACGACGACGAAGACGACGACGACGTCGCCAACGGAGACGACGACGAGGGAGGAGAAAAAACGACGACGGCGACAACGACGACAACGACGATGGAGGAGGGAAGACGGCGACGACGCCAACGACGAAGAAGGAGGAAGGACGGCGACGCCGACGACGACAACGACGAGGGAGGAGACGGAAGACGACGACGATGACAACGACGACGACGACGACGACGACGACGACGCGACGATGAGACGACGACGACGACGACGACGACGGCGACGAAATAGGAGGGACGACGACGAGACGCCGACGACGGACGACGACGACGAGGGAGGAGGATAACGGCGATGGAGGAGTGAAGACCACGACGACGACGACGACGACGACGACGGCGACGAAATAGGAGGGACAACGACGAGACGCCGACGAAGACAACGAGGGAGGAAGGACGACCACGGAGACAACGACGACGGAAACGACGACGACGCCAAAGACGACGAGGAAAGACAGAAGACGACGACGGCGACGACGACGACGACGACGAGGGAGGAGGGAGGACGACGACGACGACGCAAGAGCGCGCGCGCACAATTTTGTTGAAAACCCGTGTTGCGAAACCTTGTGTTTTTGTAGGTTTTTTGGACGCACGATTTCGAAATTCTTCCGAAACCGAAGGTTTTTGAAGGATTTCGGCATACGCCCGCGACGACGCGCGCGTCTGCACTTCGTCCCATTTTTTGCAGAGGATTCTCGCGACGGCACACGCGCAAGATCGTTCGACAGATTTCGACATGCGCGCGCGCGAAGCCCGTTTGGTAGCATTTTGTGAAAATCTTGAAAACCTATGGTTTTCTTAAGATTTCGCAAGAGCTCGCGCGTAAGTTTTTTTTTTTTTGTTTTGAATCAGTGTTGCGAAACCATGTGTTTTTATATGTTTTTTGGAAATTCAATTTTGAAATCTCTCCGGAACCGAAGGTTTTTGAAGGATTTCGGCATGCGCGCGCCACGACGCGCGCGTGTGCACTTCGTCCCATTTTTTGCAAGGGATTCGTGAAAAAAGTGCTATGTTAGAACAAAACATGTCACCGCATAGTGTTTTTTACAAGGGAACCGCAGGGGGGGGGAACCCGGCTTGGCTGGGATGGTATGAATTCATATTTAGGATGGACATGTGGTCATAATCATATGTAATTTACAGCACGCGCGGGGGGGGCCCGATAAGTCCGGGGGGGGGGGTAGAATCTATTAGTCTTTTAGCACTTCGACTGTCTTGAAGCTGTCCTCTCCACTGCTCGTGCAAACATCCCACCCTCCCACCCGCAACTTGGTCGCAAGACATCTTCAGACAAGACCGTGACGGTAGGTACTGCGTGGCACTTGGCCACGACACCGATGCCGACGACGACAGCGACATCGACGACGACGGCGCCGCCGACAGCGACTGCGACGACACCGACGACGTCTCCAATGTTTTCGACGACGACAACGACGACGACGACACCGACGACGACGACAACGACGCCGACGACGACGACGAAGACGACGACGACGTCGCCAACGGAGACGACGACGAGGGAGGAGAAAAAACGACGACGGCGACAACGACGACAACGACGATGGAGGAGGGAAGACGGCGACGACGCCAACGACGAAGAAGGAGGAAGGACGGCGACGCCGACGACGACAACGACGAGGGAGGAGGGAAGACGACGACGATGACAACGACGACGAAGACGACGACGACGGCGACGAAATAGGAGGGACGACGACGAGACGCCGACGACGGACGACGACGACGAAGGAGGAGGATAACGACGAGGGAGGAGTGAAGACCACGACGACGACGACGACGGCGACGAAATAGGAGGGACAACGACGAGACGCCGAAGAAGACAACGAGGGAGGAAGGACGACCATGGCGACAACGACGACGGAAACGACGACGACGCCAAAGGCGACGAGGAAAGACAGAAGACGACGACGGCGACGACGACGACGACGACGAGGGAGGGAGGACGACGACGACGACGACGACGCAAGAGCGCGCGCGCACAATTTTGTTGAAAACCCGTGTTGCGAAACCTTGTGTTTTTGTAGGTTTGTTGGACGCGCGATTTCGAACTTCTTCCGAAACCGAAGGTTTTTGAAGGATTTCGGCATAACTTCGTCCCATTTTTGCAAATGATTCTCGCGACGGCGCACGCGCAAGAGCGTTCGACAAATTTCGACATGCGCGCGCGCAAAGCCCGTTTGGTAGCATTTTGTGAAAATCTTGGAAAACCTATGGTTTTCTTAAGATTTCGCAAGAGCTCGCGCGAAAGTTGTTTTTTGAATCAGTGTTGCGAAACCGTGTGTTTTTATATGTTCTTTGTAAATTCAATTTTGTAATCTCTCCGGAACCGAAGGTTTTTGAAGGATTTCGGCATGCGCGCGCCACGACGCGCGCGTGTGCACTTCGTCCCATTTTTTGCAAGGGATTCGTGAAAAAGTGCTATGTTAGAACAAAACATGTCACCGCATAGTGTTTTTTACAAGGGAACCGCAGGGGGGGGAACCCGGCTTGGCTGGGATGGTATGAATTCATATTTAGGATGGACATGTGGTCAGAATCATATGTAATTTACAGCACGCGCGGGGGGCCCGATAAGTCCGGGGGGGGGTAGAATCTATTAGACTTTTAGAAAGGAGAATAAAGGAGAATCAAGGGGCACGGAGAGCGGGAACGGATCCAGAGACGCTAAAGCAATTCTTCGGAGGTGGTGAGGACGACTGCGCGGGAAACGGCACCAACACGACATATACGGAACCGTGACAAGTATCCTGCGCGCTTCCAGACATGACTTTGACCTCCTGGCAGGGCTTGTGGACTCTCACAGACAGCCCGCGAAGGTAGCCCAGGCTGATCTCAACATGCCCCAAAGGTCGTCCAGGGCGGTCTCAACACCCCAAACCCCAGGCCGCGGAGTGCCCTGGGGGCGCCGCTGGAGGTGGCGTGGGGGTGTTGATACCGCTCTGGAATACCCTGGGGGTTTACTGAGGCGAGCCTGGACTGCAGCCCTTTTGGGGGGCAGCCTGTGCACAGCACCACGCTTTGCTATGACCCCCTGTAGCCTCAGCTCCCCTTGGGCCACTCACGGGCGAACTGTAGGTCCCGACGCGCGTCGCTTCGAGCTGATCGGTGGACTCAGACTTCAGCGTCGCCAGGGGCCCCAGGCTCTAGACTTCATGGAGCTGGGTGGAGACTAACAACATAACTTCGACCGACCTGCGGCCTTTGCCACGGCTGCTGCTGGACCTTCTTCCCCTGCTCGTCCTCGTTGTCGGCCTCATGCTCACCCCGCTCTCATCCCGCAACTCATTCTACAAGCAGTGCACGGGAACCTCTCCGGGTTCTCTGGCTGCTGCAGGACCCCATGTACCTTGGCAGGGTAGTGATCTGATCAAGCAATAGCGACGATGGTGAGGGCGAGAAGAGGATGATACGGAAGAGGAGGAGCATGAGGCGGCAGAGGAGGAGGAGGAGGAGGAGGAGGAGATGAGGATGAGGATGAGGATGAGGATGAGGATGATGAGGAGGAGGAGGAGGAGGAGGAGAAGGAGGATGAGAAGGATGAGGATGAGGATGAGGATGAGATGCAGGGTTTCCTCCAGCCAGGTGGATGAGGGGGTTTACGACGACCGCGAGGCTGGAAGAGCAGGGCAGAAGGATGAGGGTTCACGCGACGACGGCGATGGAGATGGCGACGCCCTTCGCCGTACCAGACCCCTCCACGCACTACCCCCGCTGCCGCAGGTATTGGCTCCCCGATGGCGACCCCGCCCCCTTCAGCGGGTACTGCGACGCCTGCGGGGACGGCCCCGAATCCCGAGAAGTTGCGTTCGTCAGCGCACCCCGCCCCCACCCGCCCCCCCCCCTAACCAGACTGCGGGTCCTTGAGATGGCGAGCCCGCCGTCTCCGACGAAGCATCCTCCAGACGCCGCACCCCGCGAAAAACGCCAGAGGCGGCATCGTCGGGAGTGGCTCGGAGGCGCACCGCAGCGAGCAGGACTGGACCCCAACCGATGAGGAGACCAGGCCTGCGGAAGGCAGCGGGGCTGGCACACAGGAGGAGCGTTAGCCACTCCTTGGCCCATCCGACGCACGACGGACAGCCAGGCGCAAGCCTCCCCAACAGGACTCGCACCCTTTCGCAGGCTTTCAACTATACGCAAGAGAGACCCCAAGCAAGAGCGACCTTTGGGGCGCTGCATTCGGGGACCTCGAGAGGCCCAAATCCAAGCGATCGGGCCAGTGCTGGGGCTACCCATGCGAGCTCGCACCAAAGGTCACTCTGGCGAAGGGTCACTCTTACGTGCAGTCGAGGCTCCCACGCTCTCACTATCGGTCGGCTCCGCCGGAAAGAGGCCTCCCGCGCGGCCCACCAGGTGCGCTGTCTGGGGTGCAAGCAGAAAAGGTACGCTGGAACGCGTGCCACCTCCAGAGCCCCCGCTCCCATTCAGCAGGGCGCCTGCGAGGCCCACTGCGCGACGGCTTTGGGCTGCTTCCTCGCGGAGCCGTGCTCGCCCCCGCCCTCGGAGCCAGGCGGCGGTGGAGTACAGCAGAGGCCCGACCACAAGAAACCTTCCACAAGAAGCCCAACCCTGAGACCCCAGGGCGTCCACTGAATTTTGGTGTGGGCACGTCACGCTCACGCGTTCCACCGCACAACCATCGAAGCCCGAGACACCCTGGGCACCCTGGAGGCAACCAGGGTGTTTCTTGGCATGGGTCTCCACTGTACGACCTCCCGCACAATGGACCCCCCCCCCGCCGACTGCGACCCCGCCGACTGCGCGGCGCCCCTGCCGGGCTGCGTGCTGCCTGGCAGGTGTGCACGCCGCCTGCGGCCGCGGCCGAGGCCGTCAAGCCTGGGCCGCCCGCAGAGGCCCCATGGGTCACACGCTGGAGACCCTGGGGATGTTCCTGCACGGGATGGCGCAGGGGGCGCTGTCGCGGCAGTGGGAACGCCTCGAGTGCACCAGGCGAGGAGCAGGCCCAGCATATAGCTTCTCGGATTACCGCCGCCAGCGGGGCCCTGTGCCCCCCCCCCCCCCCCCATGGGCTCGCCGTGCCCAAGTGCGGCGTGAGTCACCAGCGCAGGACCCCAATAGAGGACCCCCGCCGGCCGATAGGGGTACTCCCCGCGAGCACGCCCAGGACGCTTCCGCGTGGCGGACACGGTGGGCGAACAAAGTGTCCAACGGTTTGCAGGAGACGACACCAGCGCGGGGTCCGAGGCACCTCGGCCGCCCTCGCAGGCTGTCGATCCCCGCCGCGCCTGCAGACGGCACCATCCCCTACGCGCAACGAGCACCTAACCTAACCGCTGCACCACCCGCAGCCCGCGCCCTCCGAACCCCGCGATCGTCCCCTGCCACCCACGCTCTGTGGGAACCGCGCGTCCGCCACTGGACCCGCTACACACCCTGTCCGGCCCGGAGTAGCGGGCAGAGGAGCGCCGCCGCTCGCGCCGTCCTCCTGGCGCTGCCTCCAGCTGCGGCTGCCTCCAGACCCCCCCTGACGCCCCAAGGGGGCCGCAGGCAGGTGCGCCGGGCTGGTCGCAGCGGGTCTGGAGAGGAGGGTCCGCGGCGCCGCCCACCGCCCGCAGATGTGCCCTCGCCAGGACTGGCCGCCGCCCGTGCGGCTCTGGCGGGCGCTCGGCAGGCACCGCCTGGCCGCCCAGCCGCGGCCCCGCTGCTGGCATCGTGCAGCGGCGGCCGCAAGGCTCCGCTGGAGGCCCCAACACCGCCGGCTGGTCGTGGGCGGCGTGAGAGATGGTACGGGGGGCGGGGGCCGGATCTGGCCGAGCTGGACCGCTGCCCATGCTGGCCACACTTCCCCTGGCCCTGCGCAGCACGGCGCCGCAGTCCTCGAGAGCTTGCAGCTTGGTGGGCTCCCTGGGCATGGCAGCCAGCGGCCCTGGCCCTACGCAGCCAGATGCGCGGAGGCAGCGGCCTGGCTCTGGCTCCGCTGCGCCCTGGGCAGGCTCCCATCGACACGGAGGCCCCGCCCGCGACACCTGCAGCGCCGTGGACGCGCCCTGGTTCCCCCAGCTGCACCCCTCGTCCATCGTTTGGCTCGAGGTAGCTGCCCCCCACTTTCTCTCGTTAATTTCTCATCCGACAGTCCTGGCTCGTCGGTGCCACCTGGCCGTCACTGTAGGCTGGGCCGCCTCTCGCTGCTCTGCGCTTGCGAAGTGAGTCCGTGCGAGCTCTGTGCGACTGCCTCGCGTGCGAGTTCCATCCGTACGAGTCGCGTGCGAGTTCCGTGCGTGCGAGTATCGCTGGTGCGAATTCTGCTTCCTGCATGTTTCGGAAGGACAAGGTGAGAGCAAATGCGTTGGCTGCATGGTTAGTTCACTGTGTCTCGCCTGCTCGTCTGCTTGCTAGTTTGCTTCTCTAAGATTTCTGACTGGCTGGTTCGTTGGTTGGCCGATTCGTTGGCCGTTTGGCTCGTTCGCCTCTTGGCAATCGCGCTCCCCGTTGCAAATCCAGCTCGCCGTGCGAACTCCGCTGACGGGCCACACTTCCGTGCGAGCTCCGCTGCCCGAGCAGAACTCTCACGGACCGACCTCGTATGGGGCGGCACTCGCACGGACGGAGCTCGCGCACCCAGGACGGATCTCTCGCGGACGAAGCCCGCACGCGGCGGACCACGCGCGCGCGGCACCCGCACGGACAGAACCCGCGCGCGCGCGAGTTCCGCACGCGTGGGAGCTCCGCCGAGCGAGCTCCGCCGGACGCGGGGCTCGCTCCGTGCGAACTCCGCCGCGTGCGGGCTCTGCCCGTTCGAGGTCCGGCCCGTGCGAGCTCCGCCCGTGCGACTTCCGCCGCTTCCGACCGCTGCGCGAGGGAGCACCAGCAGAGTGCCTCTGTGCGCCTTGTGCGCGGGATGGACCTCTCGACGGCGGCGGCGGCTCAGCTCAGGCCGGCGAGAGCGGGGAGCGTGAGGCAGGGGCTCTGGCCCCTCCGGGGGCCCCCAGCCTGGCCGCAACAGGCGCGGCACGTTCCCCCAGAGGACGCCAGCTCCGGCATCCCGGAGATGACGGGGCTCTTGGAACGAAGAACTGGGCCCAAGCTCCGCGGCCCTCCATCCTCCCCCTCCTGTTCCTGCTCCTGCTCCTGCTCCTGCAACTGCTCCTGCTCCTGCTCCTCCTCCTCCTCCTCCTCCTCCTCCTCCTCCTCCTCCTCTTTCTCCTCCTCCTCCTCCTCCTTCTTCTTTTTCTTCTTCCTCCTCCTCCTCCTCCTCCTCCTCCCAAGCGGGTCCTGGGCCCGGGGGCCTTCCCCGGGACTCGGCTCTCGTCCCGGAACTTCTGTTGGTGATCCCCGGGGCCCGGGGCCCTGGAGAGATGCCGGGCGCTGCGGAGAACATCGGGACTCTTTTTCTTCATGGCCACCGCCCCTGCTCAAAACTCGATGCTCGAAGCTCGGTGGAGTTTTTGGTCGGGGGTTACTAAGGGTGCCCCCTGGCCCAAGGTGCCCCCTGGGCCTCGTGAGGGGTGCTCTGGAGGCCGTGGGGGCATCCTTGGAACACCTGGGGGCACCTTGGGACAAGGGCCGACTTGGGCCCTGGGACTCCCGCAGTTCGCTCTTGCGCACCAGGGCCCCTCCAGATTCCACTGCTCGGCGACCGCGGAACCACTGCTTGGCGACGGCTGAACCCCTGCTTACCGACGGCCGAACCACTTATTCTCGGCGAGCTTGGGCAGCTCCACATCCTTGATGAGCTTCTGAGCCCCTTGGATGGAGTTGGTCTTCGGCCCCAGGCGACATGAGCCTTGCTCACCTGAGGCTCGCGCGCCAACTATTTCCTGGCGTGCTGGGGCCACCCGCGAAGTTCCCGAGGCCTGAAAGGACAGACCATCCAGCACTGTCCTCGTCGTCCCCCTCCTCCTCCTCCTCCTCCTCCTCCTCCTCCTCCTCCTCCTCCTCCTCCTCCCTCCCTCCTCCTCCCTCCTCCTCCTCCTCCCTCCTCCTCCTCCCTCCTCCTCCTCCTCCTCCTCCTCCTCCTCCTCCTCCTCCTCCTCCTCCTCCTCCCGCTCCCCCCTCTCATCTACTATTAGGCTTTCAAGTGTGCCCGTCTTTCCAAACAGCCCCCCTGAGGGGATTGGACACGAAGAGTACGAATGGTGGTCTGAAGACGGATCTCCTCCTGAAGTAGCTCTGAGGGGTGTAGTCTTCTCGGACGGCTGTGCCTAGAAGGATGGGCACAGGTTCTTCCACCGCGCGGGTTGGGGACTTGTGAAGCTGTCCGATGATGGTAAGGTTCTCGCCAGGATGCGTGGTAGAGTAGGTAACCTTCTGCCCCAAAGTAGCCCAGCAACTGAGTACGTCGCAGTGTTGTCAGCTGTAACATACGCACCGCTAGTAACAGACATT